CCTGCCAGCCTCTACTTCAAAGCCTCCAAAGAAGGAGCCTCCACCACATTCCAGAGCAGAGAGTTCCACTGCTGAACATCTCTCACAGTCAGGAAGTTCTTAAGTCATAGAATGATAGAGTTAGAAGAGACCTGGTGGGCCATCCAGTCCAACCCCTTTCTGCCAAGAAGCAGGAAAATCACATTCAAAGCACCCCCAACAGATGGCCATCCAGCCTCTGTTTCCAAAGAAGGAGCCACTTCAGTCCAACTTCAGTCCAACTCACAAAAGCATGTGCAAGAAAGAAAATGTATTACTACTCTATTGTTTGTAGGGTTCAAGGTAGTTCTAGGATTTCTTCTGCAATCATCCACTTTCTTCAATACTGTCATGAAACTGCATTAAATGGTCAGTGTAGATGGGGTGTTATTTTTCGCAATAAGTTGCTCCCAGGATCTATCTATTCTTGTTCTGAACAGGAGCTCTCCAACAGGACTTTGTCGCTCATTTTGCCGAAAGTGACTCCTTCCTATCCATGTGCATTTTAAAGTGACACTCTGATTAAATTTTGAGAGAAGCGGGGAAGATGATCAAACTCATTTTCACCGAGGGCCATGTTAATTAGCCTTATGGTTACCTTCAAAGAGGTGTTGAGCTGATGGACAAAGAATCCAAATGAGCCAACTATAATTTTATTTACTTAGTGGTCCATGCTCTTCCGTTTCTACCCCAAATTTGGGTCCCCAGATGTCGCTGAACAATTACTCCCATCACTTCTGATTACCCACTCTGCTATTTAGGTTGGTATAGTGGTTAAACCCTTGTGGCAGCGGGACTCAAGACCGACAGGGAAAGCGTGGATGAGCTTCCTCTGTCAGCTCCAGCACATGAGAGAAGCCTCCCACAAGGTGGTAAAACATCAAAACATCTGGGCGTCCCCTGGGCAACATCCTTGCAGACGGCCAATTCTCTCACACCAGAAGCAACTTGCAGTTTCTCAAGTCATGGAAAAAAAATAGGGATGATGGGAATTGCAACCCATTCGCATTTGTAGCTCTGAGAGGACAGGAAAAGGCTAAAGAGCATTTTAAAGTCAGGCATCATATCCACAAGCCTTGGATCTCAATCCAACCCTTGCTCTCCTGACATCTGGAGGAAAGTCACCTAAAATGACACGGCCAGATTCGGCCCGTGGGTCTTGGATCTGACACGTTTGCAGTAAATCAGAACAGCCAAAAGAACAACGGAGAGTTGCTCGAACTTTGATTTCCCTCCTCACTGGGATTGAGGTTTCATCCTTCATTTCACAACTATTTTGAGGAATGCCAAGGCCTCTCCCAAGTCGCAGGTGGAAGAGACGGGAGGCCAGGGCTGAGGGTCCTTGGAAATGAAACTTTATAATTTTAATTTTATTATATTTATATTATATTTATTTATTATATAAGGGAGTCAAGGCGGCTTACAACAAAATAATCAGTAGCACACATTCAATGCCAACAGAAATATATAAACAAATCAAAACCAACTCAATAAATAATGACAACTTAAATAAATAAGACGTAACATGTATCTTTTGTCACCATAACAAAGCAAAGGAGGAGAAAACAGGGGACGGATTCTTTGGAAGGAAAAGGAACCCCAAAAAAAGAATATGGGGGGGGGGTGTCCCATAAGCTGGAAAAAGAAGAAGTGGGGGCAAATTAGGAAGGAATGAGCAATAAGTTATAATTTGGATGGAGAAAGAAACCATAAAGGAGCATGAGGGACAGGTTCCCTTCCAAGGCACCCCACAAAGTGGAAAGAGAGAAGGAAAGAAAGAGAGAAGGGAAAGTTATTGGGGGCAAGGAAATTATTATTATTATTATTATTATTATTATTATTATTATATTTACTTCATTTATTTATTTACTTCATTTATATACCGCTTTTCTCAGCCCTTAGGTGACTCAAAGCGGTTAACAACAGCAAAAATTCAATGCTAAACATCATAAAAACAAATAAGGGACAGTTAAAACAGTAGCATAATAAGCGATTAAGCATCAGTATAACAAATCATTAGTGTTATACTGACACAAAGCCACAGTATATCACAGCAAACTAGATTTATATGCTGGATTTCGTATTATTATTATTATTATTATTATTATTATTATTATTATTGGAAAGCCAGGTAACACCTCCTAACAAAGGATTCCCCCAGGCAGCAGGCAGCCAGGCTTTGCAGCTACAAGGCCATTCAATGCTTATCAAGATGGCCAGTTGCAACTTTCACACTTGCCTCCAACAGGCAAGAGTTCTTTTTCCCACCCTGGACATTATTCCACAGATATGTAAATCCCACTTGCCTAGTTTGTAACAGACCTCACAACCTCTGAGGATGCCTGCCATAGATGTGGGTGAAACGTCAGGAGAGAATGCTTCTGGAACATGGCCAGACAACCGGGAAAACTCACAGCGACCCAGGAAACCCTTAATTTGGAAGGAGAAAGAAACCAAGAAGGCACAAGTCCCCCACCAGATGGTGGAAACAGAGAAGGAAAAAGAAAAAATGGGAAGTGATAATGATATAATTTTAACTTTCTTCTGCTTTGTCTTGAGCCCTCTTAATTTGGAAGGAGAAAGAAACCCCGAGAAGGTGCAAAGGGAGGGATTCCATTCTAAGGTGGCCCATATGGTGGGAAAAGAGAAGGAAAGGGTTAGTAAAGGAAAAGAAAGAAAGGAAAGATAAGGAAAAGGAGAAAAGCAGGAAAAAGGGAGAGGAAGAAAAGAGAAATGGAGAGAAGGAAAGGGAAAGAAAGAAAGAAAAAAGAAAAGGAGAAAAGAAGAGAGAACAAAAAGGAGAAAAAGAGAAGAAGAAGAAGAAAGAAAGAAAAGAGAAGAAAAGGGAGAAAAGAGAAAGAAAAGGAGATGTAAGAAAGAGAAAGGAAAAGAGAAGGAAAGAGAGAAAAGAAGAGAGAAGGAAAAGGAGAAAGAGAGGAGGAAAAGGAGAAGAGAGAAAGAAAAAGAGAAGGAAAAGGAGAAAAGGAAAGGGGAAAAAAGATAAAAGAGAGAAAGAAAAAGAAGGAAAGGGAGGAAAAGAGAAAGAAAAGGAGAAAAGAAAAGAGGAGGAAATGGAGAAGAAGAGGAGAAGAAGAGAGAAAGAAAAAGAGAAGGAAAAGGAGAAAAAAAGGGAAAGGGAAAAAGAGAAAAGAAAGAGAGAAAGAAAAAGAAGGAAAGGGAGAAAAGAGAAGGAAAAGGAGAAAAGAAGAGAAGAGGAAAAGGAGAAGAAGAACAAAAAAGAGAAAGAAAAGGAAAAAAGAGAAGAAGAGAAAGGAAAAGAGAAGGAAAGGGAGAAAAGAGGGAAAAGGAGAAAAGAAGAGAGAAAGTGAAGGAGAAAAAGAGAAGAAAGAGAAAGAAAGAAAAAGAGAAGGAAAGAAGAAAAGAAGGAGAGAGAAAGAAAAGGAGAAGAAAAGAGAAAGGAAGAGAGAAAGAAAAGGAGAAGAGAGAAAAAAAAGGAGAAACAGACAAGAGAGAGAGAAAGAAGGAAAGAAAAAGAGAAGGAAAGGGAGAAAAGAGAAGGAAAAGGAGAATAGAAAGGAGAAGGTAAATGAGAAAAAGAGGAAAAGCAGAGAGAGAGGAAGAAATGAAAGAAGAAGAGAGGAAGGAAAAGGAGAAAAGAGGAGAAGATGAGAGAAAGAAAGAGAATGGAAGAGAGAAAGAAAAGGAGAAAAGAAGAGAGAGAGAGAAAGAAGGAAGGAAGGAAAAAGAGAAGGAAAGGGAGAAAAGAGAAGGAAAAGGAGAATAGAAGAGAGAAGGTAAAGGAGAAAAAGAGGAAGAGAGAAAAAGAAAGGAAAGGAAAGAGAGGAAGGAAAATAAGAAAAGAGGAGAAGAAAGAAAGAAAGAAAGAAAGAAAGAGAGGGATAAAGAAAAGGAGAAGGGACGAGGAAAGAGAAGGAAAGTAAGAAAGAAAAGAGACACAAGAGAAGGAGAAAAGGAGAAGAAAGAAAAGAAGGAAAGAGAAAAAGGAAGTGAAAAAAGGAGAAGAGAGGAGAAGAAGAAAGAGAGAAAAGAAAAAGAGAAAGAGAAAAAATAGAATGAAAAGAAGAAAAAGAGGAGAAGAAGAGAGAAAGAAAGAAAAGGAGAAGGAAATAGAAAGGAAGAGAGAAGGAAAAGGAGAAAAAGGAGGAGAGAGAAAGAAAGAGAGTGGAAGAGAGAAAGAAAAGGAGAGAGAGAGAAAAGGAGAAAAAGAGAAGAGAGAAAGAAAGAAGGAAGGAAGGAAAGAAAAAGAGAAGGAAAGGGAGAAAAGAGAAGGAAAAGGAGAATAGAAGAGAGAAGATAAAGGAGAAAAAGAGGAAAAGAAGAGAGAGAGGAAGAAATGAAAGAAGAAAAGAGGAAGGAAAAGGAGAAAAGAAGAGAAGAGAAAGAGAATGGAAGAGAGAAATAAAAGGAGAAAAGAAGAGAGAATGAAAGAAAAGGAGAAAAAGAGAAGAGGTAAAGAAAGAAGGAAGGAAAGAAAGAAAAAGAGAAAGAAAGGGGAAAAAAGAGAAGGAAAATGAGAACAGAAGAGAGAAGGTAAAGGAGAAAAAGAGGAAGAGAGAGAGAAAGAAAGAAAGGAAAGAAGAAAAGAGAGGAAGGAAAAAGGAAGAAAGAAGGAGAAAGGAGGAAAAGAAAGAAGGAGAGGAAAGAAAGAAGAAGAGAGAAGGAGCAAGAGAAGGAAAAAGAGAAGGAAAGAGAAAAAGAAAAGAAGAGAGAAGGGAAAGCGATGATGAGATCTTTTCCCAGTCTTGCCCAAATGCACTGTTATTATGACTATTCTAAGCCAGGCCTGGGCCAACTTGGGCCTTCCCTCCCTCCCTCCCTCCCTCCCGTCAGGTGTTTTGGACTACAACTCCCACAATTCCTCACACCGGCTGTGAGGAATTGTGGGAGTTGTAGTCCAAAACACCTGACGGGAGGGAGGGAGGGAGGGAGGGAAGGCCCAAGTTGGCCCAGGCCTGTCACAACGCAAGAGGCCTGCCTGTGTATGTCTCTCTCTCCCTCACCTCGCTGCGGGTGATGCGGTGCCGGCCCAGCTTGACCACGGCGAAGTTGCCCTTGCCCAGCGTGCCCTCGATCTCGTAGAAGCCCACCCGGACCGGGCCGGGACCCCCTCGCGGAGGAGGAGGAGGCGGCGGCGGAGGGAGAAGCAGAGACGACGCGGAGGAGGAGGAGGAGGAGGACGAGGAGGCGTCCGGGGGAAGGCGGCGGGGCTCGGCCATCACCATGCTGCCCTGCGCAGCCCCTCCCAGCCACGTCCGCCTCCGCCGCTGCCTCGCGGAGGACTGAGGCGACGACCCAGCCCGGCCCCGCCCCCCTCGCCTTCGCCACGCCCACTTCCCCCTCGCGTCAACGCTCTGGCGTCACGCGCCTGCGCCGTCTCCACGGCAACCCTCTCCCCCCCCTTATTCTGCTTTCCCGTCGGCCCTCGCGCTGTATTTAAACACTTCCGTCCATAGCCCTGCCCAGTCTGGCTGTGAGAGCTGTTCAGCTGTGGAACTCTCTGAGACAGGATGAGGACCATGTATAACGATGCAAGGTGGAGTCATAGGGAGGAGGGAGCAGGCTTGTTTTCTGCCACCATGGAGACTAGGCCTCTTTGTATTCTGCCTTCACAATAGGAAGAACTTTCTGTGGGAGCTGTTCAGCATTGGAACTCTCTGAGTAAGAACGAAGGCCGTGTATAAATATGCAACGGGAGTCATAGGAAGGAGGGAGCAGGCTTGCTTTCTGCCACCCTGGAGACTAGGCCTCTTCGTATTCTGCCTTCACATTAGGAAGACCTTTCTGACTGTGAGGGCTGTTCAGCTGTGGAACTCTCTGAAACAGGATGAGGGCAGTGTCTAAATATGCAATGGGGCGTCATAAGGAGGAGGGAGAAGGCTTGTTTTCTGCCACCCTGGAGACTAGGCCTCTTCGTATTCTGCCTTCACATTAGGAAGAACTTTCTGTGGGAGCTGTTCAGCATTGTAACTCTCTGAGACAGGATGAGGGCTGTGTCTAAATATGCAAGGGTGAGCATATTATATTATATTATTATATTATATTAATATGCTGCCCCTTGCACATTTAGACACTGGTCTCATCCTGTTTCAGAGAGTTCCACAGCTGAACAGCCCTCACAGTCAGAAAGGTCTTCCTATTCTGAAGGCAGAATACAAAGAGGCCTAGTCTCCACAGTAGCAGAAAACAAGCCTGCTCCCTCCTCCCTATGACTCCCCCTTGCATATTTATACATGGCCTTCGTCCTGATTCAGAGAGTTCCACTGCTGAACAGCTCTCACAGTCAGAAAGCTCTTCCTAATGTGAAGGTAGAATACAAAGAGGCCTAGTCTGCAGGGTGGCAGAAAACAAGCCTGCTCCCTTCTATTCATGATTCCTCCTTGCATATTTAGACACCGCCCTCATCCTGTTTCAGAGAGTTCCACTGCTGAACATCTCCCACAGAAAGTTCTTCCTAATGTTAAAGCAGAAGACGAAGAGGCCTAGTCTCCAGGGTGGCAGAAAACAAGCCTGCTCCCTCCTCATTATGACCTTCCTTGCATATTTATACACAGCCCTCATCCTGATTCAGAGAGTTCCACTGCTGAACAGCTCTCACAGAAAGGTCTTCCTAGTGTGAAGGCAGAATACGAAGAGGCCTAGTCTCCAGTGTGACAGAAAACAAGCCTGCTCCTGCCTCCCTATGACTCCCCATTGCATATTTAGACACGGCCCTCATCCTGTCTCAGAGAGTTCCACTGCTGAACAGCTCTCAGAAAGTTCATCCTAATTTGAAGGCAGAGTACAAAGAGGCCTAGTTTCCAGGGCGGCAGAAAACAAGGCTGATCCATCCTCCCTATGTCTCACCTTTGCATATTTATACACGGCCTTCGTCCTGATTCAGAGAGTTCCACTGCTGAACAGCTCTCACAGAAAGTTCTTCCTATTGTGAAGGCAGAATACGACAAGGCCTAGTCTCCAAGGCGGGAGAAAACAAGTCTGCTTCCTCCTCTTTATGACTTCCCCTTGCATATTTATACATGAATCATCCTGTCTCTGAGAGTTCCACTGCTGAACAGCTATCACATTCGGAAAGTTCATCCTAATATTAAGGCAGAATACGACGAAGCCTAGTCTCCAAGGTGGCAGAAAACAAGCCTGCTCCCTCCTACTTATGACTCCCCCTTGCATATTTATACCTGGCCCTCATCCTGTCTCAGAGAGTTCCACGTCTGAACAGCTCTCACAGTCAGAAAGTTCTTCCTAATGTGAAGGCTGAATACAAAGAGGACTAGTCTGCAGGGTGGCACAAAACAAGCCTGCTCCCTCCTCCCTATGACTCCCCCTTGCATATTTATGCATGGCCCTCATCCTGTCTCAGAGAGTTCCACTGCTGAACAACTCTCACAGTCAGAAAGTTCTTCCTAATGTGAAGGCAGAATACGAAGAGGCCTAGATTCCAGGGCGGCGGAAAACAAGCCTGCTCTTCTCCCTATGACTCTCTCTTGCATATTTATACATGGCCCTCATCCTGTCTCAGAGAGTTCCACTGCTGAACAGCTCTCACAGTCAGAAAGTTTATCCTAATTTGAAGGCAGAGTACGAAGATTCCTAGTCTCCAGGACGGCAGAAAACAAGCCTGCTCCCTCCTCCTTATGACTCCCCCTTGCATATTTATACACGGCCTTCGTCCTGACTCAGAGAGTTCCACTGCTGAACAGCTCTCACAGAAAGTTCTTCCTATTGTGAAGGTAGAATACGAAGAGGCCTAGTCTCCAGGGCGGCAGAAAACAAGCCTGCTCCCTCCTCCTTATGACTCCCCCTTGCATATTTATACACAGCCTTTGTCCTGACTCAGAGAGTTCTACTGCTGAACAGCTCTCACAGAAAGTTCTTCCTATTGTGAAAGTAGAATACGAAGAGGCCTGTCTCCAGGGCGGCAGAAAACAAGACTGCTCCCTACTCCTTATGACGCCCCCTTGCATATTTATACATGGCCCTCACCCTGTCTCAGAGAGTTCCACTGCTGAACAGCTCTCACAGAAAGTTTTTCCCAATGTTCACGTAGAATCTCCTTTCTCTCATGTAGTTTGAAGCCATTGTTCCATTGCATCCTAATCTCTAGAGCAGCAGAAAACAAGCCTACTCCCTATGACTACCCTTCACCTCTTGATCCCTTACCCTCATCCTGTCTCCTCTCAGAGAGTTCCACTGCTGAACAGCTCTCACCATCAGAAAGTTCATCTCTTTCCATGTCTTGCTGGAGTCTTCCTTGCCTTGGACTGCGTAGATCATAATAAATTGTGGCAAGTTCTTGGTGGGATCACCTTGCCTGTCTCCTGAGGAATCTGTACAAGGACCAAGTAGCAACAGTCAGAACTGACCACGGAACAACAGACTGGTTCAAGATTGGGAAAGGTGTACGGCAGGGTTGTATCCTCTCACCCAACCTATTGTATGCAGAACACATCATGCGATGTGTTGGGCTTGATCCATGGCTGGAGTTAAAATTTCTGGAAGAAACATTAACAACCTTAGATATGCAGATGATACCACCTTGATGGCCGAAAGTGAGGAAGAGCTGAGGAGCCTTCTGAACAAAGTGAAAGAAGAAAGTGCAAAAGCTGGGTTGCAGTTAAACATCAAAAGAGCCAAGATTATGGCAACAAGAATGATTGACAATTGGCAAACAGAGGGAGAAAACGTGGAGGCCGTGACAGGGTTTGTATTTCTAGGTGCGAAGATGAGTGCAGACGCAGACTGCAGCCAGGAAATCGGGAGATGTTTCCTTTTAAGGAGGAGAACAATGACCAATCTCGATAAAATAGCGAAGAGTAGAGACATCACACTGGCAACGAAGGTCCGCATAGTCAAAGCAATAGTATTCGCAATAGTCACCTACGGATGTGAGAGCTGGACCATAGGGAACGTGGCCGGTTCAGTGGAGTTGATAGCGGAGGACCATCGCTTCAATGCTGGTGGTCTTTGCTTCTTCCAGCACACTGACATTTGTCCGCCTGTCTTCCCAGGAGATTTGCAGGATTTTCTGGAGGCAACACTGATGGAATCGTTCCAGGAGTTGCATGTGACGTCTGTAGACAGTCCACATTTCGCAGGCGTGTAGCAGGGTTGGGATACTATCCATTAAGGCAACGGAAAAGTAGAGAAGAAGAGAAATGATTACCTGGCTGAAGTTAAATGCTGTTTGTTTGTAATTGTATCTCAATCACTTAGGAACAGGTAACCTTGCCTTTATTGGGATTATGAACTGGGTCTTTTGCAGCGTATAATTTCGGGATTTGGGTGAGTCACGGAGTCTCAGAAGGAAGAAAGAGCGTTTTTCATTCCAGACAAATTCCCAGGCCGGCATCTTACTCCAAAGCAAAACAGCAGTTATACATGAAAGAGTATAATAGCCTCGCATCTGTATTCGGTGCTTTGGCATAAATAGTAATCAGGAGTAGGTCACGGCGCTTTGCAGAAGCAGACAGAGGAAGGGATCATTAGGTTATGATGCCGGAATCCATCATGGTCTGGAAATCGAAAAGGAAAGGTCGCCTCAGGAAGAAAAAGCCAGGCTCAGAAAGGGACATTGTGTCCTATTATTATTATTATTATTATTATTATTATTATTATTATTATTTGAAACACAACAAGGTGAGTCCACTACAGACACTCTGCTGGCTGTTGTATTGGATCACACGTCAGATACTTCCCAAGTGTCTAGGACTGTGTGATGTATCGGCGAATAATGTGTGCAGATCCCAATAAGGTGGCCTTTTGCAGCTGGCAGATGGTAATCTTGTCAGCGCTGATTGTGTTTAAGTGCAGGCCAAGGTCTTTAGGCACTGCACCCAGTGTGCCGATCACCACTGGGACCACCTATTATTACTATTATTATTATCATTATTATTGTATGCACAACAAGTTTAGTACACAGCAAACAAAATCACTATGCTGTCTGTTGTATTGGATCACACGTTGGACCCTTCCCAAGTGTCTAGGACTGTGTGATGTATCGGCGAATAATGCATGCAGATCCCAGTAAGGTGGCCTTCTGCAGCTGGCAGATGGTAAATATCTCAGCTCCGATTGTGTTTAAGTGCAGGCCAAGGTCTTGAGGCACTGCACCCAGTGTGCCGATCACCACTGGTACCACCTTTACTGGTTTGTGTCAGAGTTTTTACAGTTCGATTTTTAAATCCTCATATTGTGTCAGCTTTTCCAGTTGTTTCTCCGCAATCCTGCTGTCACCTGGGATTGCGACATCGACGATCCATACTTTGTATTGTCGAAAGCTTTCATGG